ACGCACGCACGCACGCACGCACGCACGCACGCACGCACGCACGCACGCACGCACGCACGCACGCACGCACGCACGCACGCACGCACGCATGCACGCGCATATTTTCTGTAAAATATGCCGTAAAAAAGTTTGAATCTGTGGACAGATTATATACAAGTTATAGGTTATTTTATATATTTATTTACATTTAATATTTTATATATTTATATATATTTTAGAAGCAAGTGATATAATATTATAGTTTCACGTACCATTTTGTAATCTGTAATGCACATTATTTGATGCAAAGACACTATACGTAATATTATTAAGTATAATGTTTTTCAAATTCATTATTGTCATCATAACCATTTTTTTAAACATAGGTTTTTCAAATATATCCTTATCCTTAAAATTTTAATTTTAAGTTATATCTCGTGCTATATTTGTTTTTTCTTGGAATGGCATTTAACCGTCTCTCCCTAAGCGGAGAGACGATTAGGTGCGTTCAATTTCTTTTAGGTTATATCTTACCTTATAATTATATTTAAATTATGTTACTTACGTTTTACAACATGTTGTACTCAAATAGCGGACTTAAAATATGCTGGAAAAAATGGCGTCCGCTGAATAAACACGTTGAGTGTCGGATATTGATCACAACGCGTTTAGCAGCTTTTTCAACTTTTCAACTTTTCAAGTCAACTGTTGTACAATTGTTGGGTTTGCTGAATGCAGTCAATGTATTGCCCACTTTGTTCGATGACCTTCTTTCGGGAAGCTTCATGATCCCATTCTCGAAAAAATTTCTATCTTTAGTATCAAAAAACGGAACCAAATATCTTTTGACAGCGTCATCTGAAGCAAACGTTTTATCACTCAAGAAGTTTTGCAAGAAGCGAAACAAATGATAGTCTGATGGTGCAATATTTGACGAATATGGTGGATGAGGCAACACATCCCAAACAAACTCCAACAATTTTTTGCGAGTCATCAAACTTGTATGTGATCGAGCGTTGTTATATTGGAATACTCCTTTGTGATTTATCAATTCTGGCTGCTTTTCTACTACTGCTTCGTCCAGTTTGTCTAGTTGTTGAAAGTACACGTTCGAAATGATCGAAATATTTCTTGATAAAAGCTCGAAAAACACCAACCCTTTCAATTCCACCAGATAACATCACTTTCCTTGATGGATGTTTACTTTCCTTGTGATGTGCTTTGGGCCGGCTCATCGGGTTTGCTCCACGATCGCTTTCGCTCCACTTTATTGTACACGATCCATTTTTCATCGATCCATTTTTCAGTAATCATATGTTTTAGAAATGGATTGGATTGTTCACGTTTCATAACATTTGATCGCAGATATCTATGCATTAAATGAGATGAATTTCTTTCAGTTTATGCGAGACCCAAATAGTTAATGTGACCAAGTTGTTTCAAATAAAGATGAACGCTTCCAATCGATATTTTTAGTGCTTCAGCGAGCTCTCGAATGATAGAATGTCTATTAGTTTCAATTAATTATTTTCCTTTATTTTCTCATTATCAATCGATCTGAACGAGGTGTATCTTTCACACTGTAGTCACCAGAACGGAAACGAGCAAACTAATATTGACATTGACGTTCTTTTAATGCTTCGTCACTATAAATTTTACGTAATTTTTATAAACCTGCGTAGCGTTCTTTCCTTTTCGGAAGTAATAAAGTAATAAAGTAAAACTTAGCGAAAATGCTCGTGTTGACTCTCCATTTTCAAAACGCTATAGAAAGAATAATTGTTGATCGATTTGCATTCTTATTTTTTGAACTTACAAGTGTCAGCTATTAAACGCGCATAGACTCATAGATTTAGAGAAGCGTTTAATACATAACAAATACATCTAAAGCTATCTATCAGAAAAAAACGCAATGACTTTTTGAACAATCCAATAATATAACAATCTAATAATATAAGTAATATAAAAATTATTAATATATAATTTTGACAATTTTTTTAAAATTAATTCAGGATTTGTCTCTCAAAAACTGCGTTATTTTTAAACCCTTTTTTTTATAAATTATTATTTCGCGCGCGCATGAATTTTCGAGAGCACTGTATATCCTTGCAAACCAATAGGTTTCGGCTCAGAATCATTTGAAACATTTTTCAGATATCAGTGAAAATTCGAGAGTATATACATACATGTATATACATACATATTGTAGTATATTGTAGTATATGTGTATGACATATACACATATGCATTGTAATGTATATGTGTATGACATTGTATTGTTTAGCATGTTGTTCTAAACACGTTATTGCAATGAATATCAGGAGACACGATAGTGTCTCGGGTGTCAAATCAACCGAACACTACCGTGTGACTTTACGCGAGTCGGCGAGATGCGAGTACCCGTAACTATCGGATTTCAATAATGAATAAACCGATCAAATTCTAAAGGCTCGATCAATAGCTTGAGTTCGACTTGCATAATAAAAGTATTTTTATTTTTTTTGCTACGTGCCCTACAAACGGAGATATTGCTACGCAAAGTCCGATTTGGAAATTTTTACTTTAAGAAACATCGTTGTCGTCTCCCATACAGTTGCAATTTCTGTCACGAGAGGCGCTATTGATCCAATGTACACCGCCCGTCAATGATTCACTGGGTCCTACAGTGACCCTGACTTATTGGCTTGATCGTAAAAGTCTTATTGGCTCCACAGGATCAACGACTTTCAAAATCACTGAAAGATTTGCACTGTTCACGTATCTTCTTTAGATCTTTGTACGTAACTTTATATCTTTGTACTGAACTATCTATTAATACATTCAGTATTATTCGATAACATATTCAATTGATTGAATATTGATTGAAACATATT